CACACACACACACACACACAACCGCGTGTGAGGCGCGACAACAAGCGTGGCAGTGTCTATTTGAACTATTTTCATGTTCTAGCGGTAGATTCATTCGATTTTGCTCATCCTATCGATGGAAGTACCATAAGGCCAGCCATGAGGTTGGAGACTTATTTGCTCTCTCTCTCTCTCTCTCTCTCTCTCTCTCTCTCTCACACACACACACACACACACACACACACACACACACACACACACGCACACACACACACACACACACACACACCTTTTGCCCCGTTTTGGTGAAATGCATACAAAGGTTTTGCCGCAGGGAGGCTTTATAACTTTTCCCAAAAAGGAACAAAAAAAAAAGAGAAAAGAAAAAAGGGAAAATTTGTCTGGTGCCCCTCTAATTTCCATTATTTTCTATTGCGCCCCTCTGACGGACCACTTACCCTGTCATGCCCCTGGGGCCTCTGAACTTTCCTGCATGCCCCTGTCAGCAAGGCGCACAGCTTTCTGCGGTGCCCTTACTGGACGGCTAGTCCCATTTCACCTGTCCCTGCGCAATATACCCTCATGAGCGGCATGCGTTTTTCCGGGAAATTTGGATTTGGTGTTTTTTTGTGGTGCTGCCACAAAAAATGAAAGTGTGTGTGTGTCCAACATATCGCATGGTGTACTCACCATGCACCCCATGGAACCCATGGTACACCCCGCCCTGCCGCAACCAAACTAACACTGTATGTTGCCACTCTACTACATCTCATGAAGCTACCTCGTGCAAACGTGTTTATCCATGACCAACTTTCCAAAGTGCCAGATATATAGGCAAGAGGGCATGGGGGAGGCAGGAGGGCAGACAACATGCGAGCACATCAGCAGGCGAACCAAAAAAAAATCCCAGAAGGATACCAAGATCAGACAGACAAGAAAAGCATCAAGGAATGCCAAAACAAAGCAAGCAAAAGGACATCAAGGCACATCAGCAGGCAAACCAAAAAAAATCCCAGAAGGATATCAAGATCAGGCAGACAAGAAAGGCATCAAGGAATGCCAAAACAAAGCAATCAAAAGGACATCAAGGCATAGGCTGGAGGGAACGGCGGAGGCGGGAGGGCGGCAACATGCAAGCACATGAAACAGGCAAACAGGGAAGAATACAAGTCCCAAAAAAATCAAAAGACCGAAGAAAATAAAAACTGATGATAACAAGATTGTTTCGTTGGAGTTGCATCGACTCATCAGGAGGCTGAACCCTCGACAATCTGCGGAATATCCATATTTGATGGTTAGGTCATGAACCCTTTGACCCTTGTTGAAGGCAGACCATTCCCAAGCGGGACATAGCAGCAGCAGCAACCCTGCAGAGCACCAGGCAACGCAGTAGTGGCAGCCCAACTGCTTATCACCAAAGACGACTACAAGGAACGAGCGGGCAAGCGAGCGAGCAGCTCGGCAACTGTGCGGTGAAGTGCAAGGCAGCATCAGCAAGGTGACGAGACTACAAGGCACACAAGCAAGTAAAGGACACGGAAAGCCAACAGGGCAGGCGGACGAGCAGCTCAGCAACCGTGCAGTGAAGCACAAGGCACCACCAACAAGGCAACCAAACTTCAAGGCATGCAAGCAAAGGACACTGAAGGCCGACAGGGCACACGGACAAGCAGCTCAGCAACCGTGCAGTGATGGGCAAGGCAGCACCACAAGGCAACCTGACCACAAGGCACACGAGCAAAAGACACGGGAGGAACGGCCCGCGGATGGGCGGCAAGGCAGCAGAGCATTGAGAAAGACCTGGGAAGCAAGCAGCACGGGCAGCAAGCCAGCGGCAGAGCACAGACAAGACAGTCTACATATCCAACACTGCCCAAAGCGGCACATGCCCTACTCACATCACGAGTTAACCCCGCAGACTGTTGGTTCCCACCACCCGCTGAGCCAGGGAGACACTCCGATGACCATCCGTGATCACCCACAGGCAACACAGACATCCCGAACCGAGTGGCGCCCCTAAGAGTGCAGTAGGCACTCCAAACAAGGACCCACCGACTGTTTGGCACTGCTAGCGGGTGCTCAGCTGGGGACACAAAAAGTACTTAGAAAAACATAGTAGAAAGGGAAAAAAACAAACATACCAAAACCTGTTTTTTTATTATTATTATTATTTTGTGTGTGTGTGTTTGTGTGTGTGTGTGTGTGTGTGTGTGTGTGTGTGTGTGAGAGAGAGAGAGAGAGAGAGAGAGAGAGAGAGAGAGAAGTGGCTGCCATGTGCATAGCCATAGAGGTCCGCTAAAAGTATGCACCCTACGGGTAGGGGCATGTAGAATATATTTTGTGCTGGTACTTGACAGCTATCCGGTAGCGGCACACTGCAAATTTGAAACAGGTCCCTGTAGGGGCATAACAAAAATATTTCAGGCCGAACCGACACGGGAGTCTTATGGGAAATTTGAATCGTGGTCAGAGGGGTGCGACAGGTTACATCGCCCGTGGGAGGGCCTATGGAAATTACAGGGGCGCCAGACAAATTTTCCCTGAAAAAATAAAGAAACAAGAAAAACGAAGAATCGGGTGTCCATAACATAAAAAATAATAATAAAAAAGGAATCGGGTGTCGCTCTGCGGTGGTACTATGCGCCGCACTCCTCAGCAAATGTGCAAAACGGACAATGTATCTGCCGCTAGAACGTGGAAAGATACGGAAATTTCGTGAGGACAATGACGATAGGCTCGGTGCACTGCACAGTACAGTATGGGCCTCGCTACACTACTCACCAAATGTGCAGAATGAGACTGAATCCACCGCTAAACATGCAAAGATACATTGCCATCTTTTTTGTCTTTTGTGCATGTGGAGAGTAGTGCAGCGAGGCCCTATGTCTAAAAGTAAATGTTTCTAAATATAAGTATTTCTAAACGTACGCGTCGAATGTCTATTGAGTAGAGGATCGAGAGGCCTACCTCTGCCTCTTTTTTTTTCTTTTTTTTTAAAAACCAATTCAATCACCTGTCGAATCTGTGGACAGGATGGCCTCCAGATGAACGGCGCATCAAAAGTGTGCAAAAGACAAAAATTATGCCGGATGTATACTCCCACGTTCTATCGGCAGGAACATTTTCCATTTTGCTCATTCCGGGCATACTCACCCTAGGTAGTGTGAGGTGAAATTGAGAAAAAAAAAATAGTAATAAAAAAAATGCACCTGACTGCAATTACGGCCAGACGTGGATAAATCTGACTGTGATGAAGTCCTGAGCTTTGTGAAAAAAAGGCCTACCGGTAGTGTGACTATGCCCTCACGGAGGAGAGTGGCAAAGCCGTCCCTATGTCGGGCTTACAATGCCGACGAGGAAGAGTTGCTTTCCAACAAGAACTTCAGCCTCGTCCGTAGGTGAGCTGTCGGTTCCAGCGACCATAGCTGAACTCGTGTTGCATAGCTACATCATCGTCGTCGTCGTCGTCGTCGTCGTCGCCGTCGCCGCTGTTGGTAGTTCAGGCGAAGGCTGAGCTTGACAACATTGCTGCCCTTCCAGGCCTGATCAAGCTTGAGCGGCCATAACCAAGTGTACGCAGGTGTTCTTCTCTCTCTCTCTCTCTCTCTCTCTCTCTCTCCCCCCCCAGTCTGTTCTGTCGCGAACAGGCAGAGAGGCATTTCATCTCGTTTTCCTCTTCTCCGCGTTTCTTCTCTCTCTCTCTCTCTCTCTCTCTCTCTCTCTCTCTCTCTCTCTCTCTCTCTCTCTCTCTCTNCTCTCTCTCTCTCTCTCTCTCTCTCTCTCTCTCTCTCTCTCTCTCTCTCTCTCTCTCTCTCTCTCTCTCTCTCTCTCTCTCTCTCTCTCATTTCTCTCTCATTTCTCTCTCTTCCGATCTGTTGAGAAAAGGCAGAGAGGCCCCGCCTCTTTCCTTCCTGTTCTTCGCGTTTTCGGTCACGAAATCATGAAGACGGCGACTCTCTATGGGCTCGTCGCGGCCATGGCGGTCGTCCTTCTTGCTTCCGCTGTCGGTTGTTCGGCGAGGAAGTTCGAGTTCGAAGCCGTGTTTAACCCGAGTAATCTACCAAGCGACAGTGCCGGCAGCAGCGTGAACAGCAGAGCGTTCATCCCACGTGCTAAGATGGCTTTGAAGGAGAAGGTGTCTGATGATAGTGGGTGTGAAGCGGAATGCCGCGTCGAGGCTTTCATGTGCAAGGCTCGCGTGCTGTTCTTGAAGGGGACAGCTGTCAATCCGACTCCAGCGCAAGTGCAAGTTTGGGAAGAGGACATCGAAAGATGTCGTCAATCCAAAGAAGGCTGCGTTATGGGATGCTCGCGCTTCGGAAATTAATTACTTATCAATCAACAAATTAACATGATGAATGTGCCATAAAGATGCGTCCACGCTCCGATCATTGGAACTAACGGCGTATCGTAATCATTATTAATCAAGCAATCATGCTTCCTCGCCGTTGATTGGATACCCGACTGATCCACTGACATCAATCATATGAATCATGCTTCTTCGCTGTTGATCGACGTGTGGTCTGCTGCTGTTAGGTGTTAGGGATTGCAGGGTCACGATGACGGCGCGCTGGTCGGCGACCGCCTATGTAGTAGTGGTAGCTGAGTTGCAATTGGTGCGCGGAGCTGAGATGCTGGTCGGCGACCGTCGAGTACGTTGTAGTTGCAGTTGGTGCGCAGCGATGAGATGCAAGGAATGACATCGACGACTAGCGAAGCCCTAGCTGCTTGCTACGTGTGCATTATTGAGAAAGGGTAATGTCAAAAGAGAGAGGTGATACTATCTTATGACGATGAAGATTCTTGCTTAAGGCGTCCTTTTTTATTTATTACTTTTTTAAAGTTTTTTTTGTTGTGTTGTCGCAGCAGTGCTCGGCAGGTAAATTCTTTCCGCGTTCGACGGCGGGCGCGATCTGATTGATTGATTGATTGCCACGTGGTTACCAGCTAGATCGCAGATCTGATTGATTGCTACCAGGTAGATCGCAAATCGGATTGATTGATTGATTGCGTGCCACGTGGCAACCAGCTAGGCCGCAAATCTGATTGAAAGATTGATTGCCACGTGGCTACCAGTTAGGCCGCAAATCTGATTGAATGCCACGTGGCTACCAGCTAGGCCGCAAATCTGATTGAAAGATTGATTGCCACGTGGCTACCAGCTAGGATTGATTTGATTGATTGCCAACCTTCGACGGCGGGCGCAATCGGCATTATCTGGATTTGCTCTTTTATTATTATTGTTCATATTATTATTGTTGTTGTTATTCTTGTTATTATTCTTATTATCTTTTTTATTCTTATTGTTATTCTTATCAAGTCGTGGTTTTCTTGCGTGATTTTCTCTCAGAGCTCCTGGTCATTCTTCTCTCTCTCTCTCTCTCTCTCTCTCTCTCTCTCTCTCTCTCTCTCTCTCTCTCTCTCTCTCTCTCTCCTCCTCCTGGAGCTCGCTCTTTTTCCCTGGTTCATCGGAAGGGCCAGGGTTGGTGTTTCTGGAGACGCATCTCAGACAAATTGAATCCGGTTTATGATAATCATTGCGGCTGCGACAATTCTGTTACACATTGATTAATTGATCAATTGATTAATTGATTGATTGATTGATTGATTTATATGGTGTGGATTGCCCAGTTTGCTCCACCTTACTCTTGTGGAACGAGCATTTCGGATTTTGGGGGTTCTTTTCACAAACTCGGCGCGCGGATGTTAATTCCGTGATTACACCGAAGTCGGGCGTTCGTCAGATCTATTGGCTTTTTTTTTTTTTTTTTTTTTGGCTCTTTTGTAGTGAACGAATTATCTTCACCATGAGAGATGGTCTGGTCGTCATTATTTCGTCGACCGCATCATTAAAATTGTCATCAGCGCCAGCAGCGCTCGGTGGGTGGATGTAAGCGCGCGGGAGTTCTTCGTCGTTGAATGATCTGGTTGTCTCTTTAATGATCGCTGTTCCGGTGCAAGGTCCCACTTGCACGGATTAAGAGATTATGGCCGTTGATCTTTGCTATCTACGGTCAATATCGCTTAATTCGTGTAAGTGGGACCCAGCCCCCGCCGGTGATCCCCTTCTTACTATTGTGTTGCAATGAATACTACTACTACTACTACTACTACTATCACTACTACTACTACTACCACTACTACTATTTTTTTTTTAATTTTTTTTTGAAGTCCATGGTGTTGTAGAGGCCTGTCACTGAGTACACACTGCACAGTGACCACCTGGAGCAGTACTAGGCCGTGGGTGTCCTGGAATATGAGACGACCTCCCATCCCATCCTCACGTCAATGCTACTACTAGTAGTAGTACTACTACTACTACCACTACTACTACTACACGTCAATGCTACTACTACTACCTTCTTCCCCCGAATACAAAGTACGGTCATTATAGCTGTATTTAGACTGAAAGATACCCCAAATTCAGCTATAGCTGTATTTAGACTGAAAGATACCCCAAATTCAGCTATAATGACCGTACGTTGTATTCGGGGGAAGACGGTACTACTACTACTACTACTACTACTACTACTACCGTCTTCACCCGAATAGAACGCCCGCTCATTATAGCCGTATTTGGTGCACTTTTCAGTCCAGATACAGCTATAATAAACGGGCGTTCTATTCGGGTGAAGACGGTAGGCGGGCTGGGTGGTGAACATGTCAGGCTCTGGTGATGAGGTACCGTGACGAAGAAGAGCTTGGGAAGTCGTTGATGTCAAGTTCGAGCAATGATTCTGTGGGGTGGTTTTTTTTTTTTTTTTTTTTTCCTAAGTTCACCGTCGCCTAAGCTTCGTTAGTTCCCCCCTCCTGCCCCCCACACCCCACAATAGAAAAGTGACGAAGTTATAAATGTTCCCCGAGACAGAACCTGTGTATTCATTTGGCCCCAAGTAGGACGGCAGGGCCCAAAATCACTTTTTGGGTCATTTTTTCACCCCGGCTGGGAACCGGCTGGGCCGGTTACGTCCGCTGTGCGAAAATGGCGGGAAAGTGTTTTACAGCGGTTGGGGCAAATGAGTACAGAGGTTTTGTCGCCGGTGGCATTTATAACTTTTCCTTAAAAAAATCGTCAGTTACACCTTTCTTTTTTTTTTAAAAGTAATCTATATTCTTCTCTCAATCTATTTCATCTTTCTTGGTAGTACGCATCTATCTCATTCTCTCACTAGTCTATTTATAGTACGGGGGAACAGCAACCAACCCGGATCTCCCTTTCTCGACCTCTTGGCTATAAATAGATACGAGTGTACCCGTCTACCCATCTTCCCCGGAATGGAACGCGCGGTCATTATGCCTGTATTTCGGGCAATTTTCAGTCTAGATATAGAGATGACGACCCTACATTTCAGTCCGGGGAAGACTGTTGTACCTTTTTTTTTTTTTTTTGTGCTAACAAAACAACCGGATCGTCTGCTAGCGGTGCTGATAGGAGCAGTCGTCCGTGAGGCTCCATCTATTGGTGGGGAGCAGCACCTGCTGGAAACAGGGTCCAGCGTCCCTGTATAATACAATGTGAGAAACAAAGGTATTGTAAGCAGGGTATGTTAGTATGCATGAGGGACTGGGGAGTGAGTGTCCCAGCCCTTTATCAGATCTTTTGTAATGGAGTATTCAGTGAACTATTACTTATGATGTTGTTATCCTGACCTGTTGAGAGTCACTTACTGTTTATCTACTATCTATATTCTCGTTGGCATATGCTGTTGTGTCTGTGTCTGTTGAGGGTGTTCCTGCATGTGTTTCTTGCCTCATATTGCGGTGTGTTATATAAGATGTGGTTAAGAGTGTTCCTAACTGTGTTCCTAACTGTGTTTCCTAAGGAACATGCATGTATGTCAGTCAATTTGTCAGTGGGCTAATTCTATCCAGCGCAAATATGCGGCCAATGAGCCCAGGTGTTATGGCAGGTCTCTTTAAACCCTTAAACCCCTTACACCCATAAGTCCATAACCCCTTAAACACTTCGACCCTGCTGTCCGTCATTCCTCCTTTTGCCTGCCATAACTTGGACTGCGCTCTGTGCGGTGCTGTGTCAGTGTGCGGTAAGGTGTTGGCATGGTTATGTGGATCTGCCTTAGTCACCACCTATCCCCATCTATCCCCATCTATCCCCACCATCCCCGAAACCATCTGATCCCACCCACCCAGACTCCTGCTGTTACTGACTCTATCTCATGTCTTTTGTGTTCTTTATTCAGAAATTCCGGGGCCTCATGCCGTAACCTTGTACCTTAGCCAGGTAGTGAATTTGATTCATGTGCAGAATTGTTCCATCAGCCCCTACGGTAGGTCAGCCGGCTCCTCGTCTTCCCCATCCCTCCTTTTCTTCCTCTTCATCCTTTCTACCTTTCGCCTGCTCCACAGGTCAGTCCGTCTTCTCCTTCTTCTTCTTCCCCTACTGTAATCTCATGGCGCGCATCAAAGATGGAGGGAACTTGAACGAGGGGGGGCGGTGGTGGGGGGGAGGAGCAGGGAAAGGAGGGAGGAGGGGGGGGGGGAGAGAAAGATGACGAGGAGCAAAACAGGAGGAGACAATGGAGGGAGAGGGAGAGATATCAGGCAAACCACCACATAGCCTGGGGGCGAGGTCCCACTAGCGAAGAGATCACACTGGGAAAACGCCTGGGGGCGAGGTTCCACTAGCAAAAGAGGTCCCACTGGCAAATGCCTGGGGGCGAGGTCCGACTAAGTAGCGAAGGGGTCCCACTGGCAAACTGCCTGTTTTTTTTTTTCCGATGCCTGCAGAATTTTATAAGTGATAATCCACCTATTGGAAAGTTTTTTTTCTTATAGCAGCCCTTGACTCTTTCCTATACTAAAATTCTGAAACTCGAAATAATTGTCCTCAGCTGAAGCCCGCTAATGACCCCGACGGTAGTTCAAATATTTTGTAGGTCTGTGGCATGGATGTGTCATGCCTACATCAATGTGGCTACGCTTGATAAGAATCCTCTACTACATTGTTGATTTTGAGTCTCATCGCTCTGTCTTGTATAATTTCATATGGGTCGCTGGACCCAGTTCCCGGTACGTCCTGCTCCCCACGAATAGATTGGAGCCTTTGTCCACAAAAACAAAACAAAAAGCCCTTTGTGTCCTTCGGGACATCCGTTAAAATTGGAACGATACAGAGAAGATTAGCATGGCCCCTGCGCAAGGATGACACGCATAAATTGAGAAATGGTCCAAATTAAAAAAAAAAAAAAAAAAGCCCTGTGTCTAGCCTGACACATCCAGTTTCTTCAACACAAGTGCCGCTCGGCGCGGGTGGGGAGAGTCTCTTCGGAAAATGAAATGGAATGAAATGAAATGCAACAATTTGAAAATGCTGTCTTGGTTTCGGCTGCGGAACCCTGGGGCGTGGTCCCACTAGGAAAAAGGATCGGATCGAATGCCTGAATCTGGACGAGGTTATGGAGATGTGCAGGAAATGGAGATTGAACTGCTTTTCTGCATCTCTGCATAAAACACATCCAGATTCAGGAGCTCGATCCAATCCTTTTTGCTCATGGGACCTCGGCCCTGGAGGGAGATCCCACTAGCCATGTATTTGAATTAGTGTGACGTTTGTGGGACGGGTGGGTGG